AACGATCGTTACTCTCTTCTCTGTCACCAGTTCCGTGTATCGTAGATGCAAAAATAACGCCACATACCTTTCACAGCTTATGGCAGCCTTTGTGGTACCTGATATACAAGCAAGCATATGCGCAAGGAAAGTCAACGCATCCACAAAATTACAGTTTTCAAATAAATTCTTTTGAAAGACAAAAGCACACATTTGGGGCTGAACTAAAGCTCCTATCAGAAAGTCTGCTACTGCCAATGATCCGATCAGAATATTGGCAGGAGTGTGAAGAGAAGTTTTCTTTAATAAAACCAAAGATGAGAGTATGTGGACCGCGTGGCACTAATGAAATAGTAGAAGATAATATAGGTAAGTTGTAGTGCTTGGGAACGAGGTTATTCCGGGCGAAAGCCCTTGGAATTAAATTCGGAAAAATTAATTTCCGACCTCGCTGGGATGCGAACCCACGACCTTCGGAATTGTACTACCGATGCTCTACCAGCTGAGCTAGAGGTCAGACTGAGAGCAGGCCGGGGTGAAATAGATGTTAGGTCGCGGTAATTATGATGCAAGCGAGGTCGGAAATTAATTTTTCCGAATTTAATTCCAAGGGCTTTCGCCCGGAATAACCTCGTTCCCAAGCACTACAACTTACCTATATTATCTTTTAATAAAACCACTAGAAACAACCCGTTACCAATAGCACCCAGAAGAGAAAACACAACATTAATGGCAAGTGTAAATCTGCTGATGTAATAGAAACTGTCTGATCGAAACATGAACGGTTTGATTTGTCCATCGGGCCAGAAAAAACATCGAGAATTTCGTTCAGATAAGTTGGTAGCATTCATCTCCTCCATGTAACGAATTAAAGAATGGCCGACACAGTGTTTGTCTTGTATTAAGTTACCTTTGACCCAAGCAAAATAACGTTTAGAGATAATAGGAGCAAAAAGGTCTTTAAGAGTTAAACAGTTTAACGCAATCGAACGCCCACCAAGGTTTTCTGAGACAAAGAGTGCATCTTCTCTTGTTTTCGTTATTGCTTTAGTAAACCACTACCGTACTACGAGGCAAGACATGACAAATCATCAATAGTCCAAGTAGATATTTAAAAATACAACAACAAAAAYACAACAAAATGTGCGTGGGCTGAAGAACWTCCGCTTTTATTGGAGATTTGATCACTGGAATGATAAAGTGGTTCCTATTTAGTAAGTATATAAAGGAAATACAGAGAAGGAAAAACAAATGAAGGTGTTTTTAATACGAATGACGCAGTAACCATTTAAGTAAGAGGCGGGTGTGAATGAATAGCTTAAATGCGTGTTTCGTAAGGGTTTTGTACTAAATAGTTTGCGGATTGTCCACAGTGGGATGATTTTGGGAAGGCGGAGAGGACGGTTTGTTATAGATAAAAGGATAGATAAATAGATTGAGATGAAGACATGAAACAATCAAACAAACAAGCAAGYCATAAGCAAGTCAACAAATGAGCAAAATACAAAAACTCCAGACAAGGAAAAGGGGAATGCGTTTATTACAGATCTCACAAAACACACACATCTCTTCAAACTCTCTGCTTTCAAGCCCTGAAACAACCTCTTGGCTGATCAAAGACACATCACGGCTAACTCACAGATCGAACCCTGAAACAACCTCTTGGCTGATCAAAGTCAGGGCATGGCTAACTCACAGATCGAACCCTGAAACAAACTCTGGGCTGATCAAAGTCAGGGCATGGCTAACACACAGATCGAACCCTGAAACAAACTCTGGGCTGATCAAAATCAGGGCATGGCTAACACACAGATCGAACCCTGAAACAACATCTGAGCTGATCTATGTCGGAGCTTGGCTAACTCACAGATCGAAGCATGAAACAACCTCTGGACTGWTSYAAGTCAGTGCACGACTAGCTTAAAGATCCAATCCTTGAACAAACTGTTGCCTGCATGGCTCAAATATTGAACCCTGAAACAACCTCTGGGCTATATTAAATGTCAAGTGACCGTCAATTCATYTTAATCTATGAAAATCTCGTTATTCAAAGTTAACAGCAGATTTCGAATGACTGTGATAAATGGGTATTCCTGTTACACTTGAAACTATTTGGAAAAAAATACGAGGATGATTCAAACAAGGATTTGAAAGACTCCAGCTGCTTGTTATTATATATCCCTCATGTTGTTATTAGCTAGACAAGTTAAATGATATATAGAATATAAAAATAATACATGTCAATTGACCATCAATCCATTTCGATCTATAAAAAACACGAGGATGATTCAAGAAGGATTTGAAAGACTCCAGCTGCTTATTATTATATATCCCTCATGTTGTTATTAGCTAGACAAGTTAAATGATATATAGAATATAAAAATAATACATGTCAATTGACCATCAATCCATTTCAATCCATAAAAAACACGGGGATGATTCAAGAAGGATTTGAAAAACTCCAGCTGCTTGTTGTTATATCCCCCATGTTGTTATTAGCTAGACAAGTTTAATGTTATAGAATATAAAAATAATACATGTCAATTGACCATCAATCCATTTCAATCCATAAAAAACACGGTGATGATTTAAGAAGGATTTGAAAAACTCAAGCTGCTTGTTGTTATACCCCCCATGTTGTTGGATGAACTTCATAAAATCTTTTTCGTTCGGTTTATCTTAGTAATATTAACCAACATGGCGGCTATATTTCCGTACCTATTGTCTAGCTCTATATCCCTTATTCATATTTCTAAATGACCGTCCATATACATTGGTTCACTGGCCAAATACAAAGCATTCAACCGAGGCAGCAAGGTTTAAATTTGAATCCTTTGAAACTACCTCGTATTTCGACCAATGTAGATTTGACCGAATTATGGAAGGTGGTGAATTGGGTAAACATGAAAACGAACAACATACCAAGCCCGAGCTACACTATGGTTACAACTTTGTCTGAACCTTCAGGCTCCTGTATATTTTCTTCTGTACTGACGTTATAGGAAAAGATGCTGTCTTTGTAATAACAACTACAAATGGTTAGACCTTCACGTGGCTCGGATGACAACGTAAAATGACGGTCCCGTCTCTCCACACTAACTAGGGACCTTAAGCTGCAGGACGGCAACGTGGGCGACAACGTGGGCGAATTTGAAGCGCTCCAACCTTCTATTGTATTATTATTTCGTGTTTACCTAGTATTTTACTCAATAAGCATCCCCGTTTTAGAGTGAAATGTCGTCTTTTGGGAGCGCTTTACTTATAAGAAAATCAGCAAAGATAAGCTTTTGGCGTAGCCGTTCTCTTTAGTACGTAAAAATAGGACATTTCATCTTACTTTCAGCATAAGACGGTAATGATGCATAGTATTTCGTACATTCCAACGAGTATCTATTGAATAGCGCAATTAGTGCTATTGTATGTTTGTCGTCGTCGTCGTCGTTGCCGTCCTGCAGCTTAAGGTCCCTAATCACCCTGCAACGGAGGGACGTAAAAGAACCACTGAGGACGTAAAGAAACACTGGCAGTGATCACCCTTAGTGTCTGGCCTTTACTAATGATTTCTTAATGGGTTGATTGTGAGATGGGTATGGGGATTTTACGGGGTGGGAAGTTGGTGCAATGTACCTCAAAGGGACTCTGAGTCCTATTGTGCAGCACCAGCTAGCCTGCGGGAAAAATCTCAAATAAATAAATAAATTATTTACATCTTTCAGTGAAAGGATGATAATGAYRATRTTTGAAATAGCTTTATACCAATTGCTAGTATTCCAGAATAGCGTTTTTTAAATCCCYGAACAAATCAAACATCGCCTGTCGTACTTCTTCGTTCCTCCAGCAATAAAGAACAGGATTGAAGGAACTGCTAACGAACTGAATCGACATGGTTATGACGAAAATGTTAAAAAGACTCGTCCCGCTGTCATGACGTATAGCAAAAAGAGTGAAAACAAGACAAGCTGGAATGTAACAAAACATGGACAAGCAAATCACGTGACCCATGGTCGTTGCCAGGTTCATTTGTGAGTCATTAGACGTATCGTTGGTTTGGACCGTTGGCTGGGCCTGGGAGATGGCCCTTCGGTGGCGTCGAGCCAAGGCAAATACCTTAAGGTATGAAGCTACGATAGCAACACAGGATAGCGACCACACAAAATTACCAACAATAGCTCGAAATAAATTTATTAACGGGTAAGCAAGCCCCAAAAAAGTCAAAGAGTCGTAAATCAACCAAAAGAGCCAGATGATAATGACAACGATCGTTACTCTCTTCTCTGTCACCAGTTCCATGTATCGTAGATGCAAAAATAACGCCACATAACGTTCACAGCTTATGGCAGCCATTGTGGTACCTGATATACAAGCAAGCATATGTGCAAGGAAAGTCAACGCATCCACAAAACTACAGTTTTCAAACAAATTCTTTTGAAAGACAAAAGCACACATTTGGGGCTGAACTAAGGCTCCTATCATGAAGTCTGCCACTGCCAATGATCCGATCAGAATATTGGCAGGAGTGTGAAGAGACGTTTTCTTCAATAAAACCACTAGAAACAACCCGTTACCAATAGCACCCAGAAGAGAAAACACAACATTAATGGCAAGTGTAAATCTGCTGACGTAAAAGAAGCTGTTTGATCGAAACATGAACGGTTTGATTTGTCCATCGGGCCAGAAAAACGAATGACAGTCTAGTCCAGAAGTGTTTGTACTGTTCATTTTACAAGATTTTTTGCTACCATTCAGATTCGTACGAAGGTCGTACGAAGGAAGTTTGATTTAAAGTGTCGCTAAATGTTTTCTTGCTTTTTGGTCTTATATCTCGCACCAAAAAGAACCATGGCCACTTAACCAAAAGGGATCATTAAAAAAAATTATTATTTACTCAAAATCTTTTTGACGTAAATAAAGAATCTTTTAATAGACTGAAGTGAAATTCTACCGGAAAGAAAACTGCAATAATACAAACACCTTGTTTATTTAAATGCAAAGACAAGAGTACTTCTTTTTCCTGAAGTAACAATAATTGAAGTGTCTTTGATTCTATCGGTAAGTGACTGGAGCGGCTTCCTGAGAAAAACCAATCAGATATCGATATCTCTTGCCCAACCAATTAACTAAATAAATAGTCAAATAAATGAAACCATCTGGCTCGTTCTGTTTAGAAATGGATTAAGGATATCGGGAAGGATATCGTTAAAGCATGAGTTTTTTTCTCTCCGTCCAATGAAACCGGTATGCCACAGCTTTTTTCTCGAAAACAGTCGGTTAATGTATGTAAAACAAGTAAAATTCACAAACTACTTTTTTGTTATTAATAAATATAATTTCACAAACAGACGGCCATGAAAAGTTCGACTGTTTCAACTAGCATGCACGATGTGGAAGTAAATACATTTATTGCAACCCATTTCCACAACCAAACCCCCCCCTCTTCCCTCCTTCCCTCTCTCCCTATCTCTCTCTCCAGTCTTATTCCGTGTTCATCGAATCCAAGTGAAGGTTCTTTTATATCCTTCTATTAATTGATACTAATGTACATCCGGCGATATGTTCGTCATAAAGACCAACTTCTGGGTTGATATTATCAGGGCGCAGTTGCAGTCCATCCTTTTTGACTCAGACTGTAGTAGATTTGATAGACGGAAGTCAGTAAATAGGATGCTATCAATAGACGTCACTTCCGGTAATAGCTCTTTTTTTGATGGCTTGTAGAATCCTGGAGGTTGTTTTGATCTCTTGTTTTCTGGTTTGATGTCGTGAAAATAGTCAAATACAATAGTTTGAGGACTTATTTTGATATGTTTTGACTTAGCATCCGCTAGTTGCCCCCCAGTCAACCGCTTGTTTGCCCCCCAGTCAACTCCAAAAAAGTCACGTGATTGATAGTAAGCAATACATTTTAAAATGATTTTATCACTTCTAAGCGAGCTTGCATTTTGTATAAACGTTTCCGTTGTGCTGTTCTGCTGAGGGAGTACTTATTTTATGTATCATGAAACATACTACCACATTTATATCTATTATATTAAATTAAGAGTATGCATGTACCTATATTTTATATTTTACCCTATGTATTTGCTCGAATTTGTTCCCACATTTTAGGTTTCCCTGTTTAGTGCATAACTTGTGGTATGCTAGAAGACCGACACGATAATATAACTTATGTATTTAATATATAATCAACCATTACATATCTATTTTACTCTAATACCAAAAAGTGATATCTTTACATGTGAAGACATTAAATGATGTTTTCACACGTGAAAATAACACCATGGGTAGGAATTCTTAGAAATCGCATTCAATAGTATAAAACCACCAAAATCGATTATTATTTATAATTACAACTGTTATTAATCTCGCGTTCTGGTTGGCTGGGAGTGCGTGCTTTATGAGAGTACACAGCATGCGAGGGCAATTTCAGTTGCGTCATTAGTATAAAAAAACGGTCATTGTTCAGTGATCTGTATTTTATAAAAGAAATAAAAAACTTGCTTGCTGTGCTGTGTGCAGTTATAAAGCACTCGGATATTGGCAGAACACTCGAAAAGTGTCGAGAAGCACTCCGTTACGCGTCGTGCTTTTCCTAACACTTCTCTCGTGTTCTGCCGACCCCCGCATGCTTTATAAGTGTCCACAGCACCATATAGTAAACAGAATATTGCACGGCCGCTTAAAGATACGGGTTTTACCTTCTCGATTTTAGAATATCTTATACTTGTTCGCTGCGTTCACTCGTTTGATATCACCTCAGCAATTAAAGATAAAATTTGTATCTCTGCGCGGCAATGTAATATCCTCTAGGTATATCAAAAATGGTCATATACTTGTGTTACTCACCAAGTTGCATTGATCATGTCATAATGACTGTTAAACTGTTTGCTCAAACAAGTCGAGCACATCAGCAGCTTCGTGGCATCAACCACACTGCAGGTCGTCTTACAACATTTTATCTGCATATAAAAACATACATTAAGACCGCACTATTGGGAACCTGCTTTTTGACTGTCCCATAGTAAAGCATCTCTTTTGTTAGGCTAGTTTTAGTTTACTTGTTTGGAAGACCAATCTATTGTCATTTTAATCCCTTTTATTGTTTCTCAAACTAATAATGAAACTTGTAGCAAACAATGTGGAATGCCCCAAAACATGACAAGGAGTAAGATATGATACACAAGTCATCTGATGGACTCAAGCTTAATCATAAATAATATAGCAATGGAAGATAAGAGCATCTGATGGACTCAAGCTTAATCATAAATAATATAACAATGGAAGATAAGTGCCCCCCCCCCCCCCAACTTATTCACTTGTAAGAGGAATATGGCCATTTATGAGGATATTGAACCAAGATGAATTCAGCCCGCTTATGATATAGGAACTTATTGTGAGAGCAATAGGTAGTTATTTATGAAGTGTGGTTCCCTTAGTTCCGCTCAGTTATGAAATTGTGGTTGGTGGGGAAGTCCCTTTTACCGGCGTTTACATTGCTACGCGGCCACCCCAGACAAAAATCGCGACGTGCACTTTGCAACAGACTGCAGTCAATCAAACACGTTGACGCCATTTACACGCGTGTGTGATTCAAAACGCTCCAAAACTTCGGTCGGTTGTTTACAAGTATTATGAACCGTTTGGATCGGCCCGGATAGGCCCGGTGACTGTGGTTCATAATACTTGTAAACAACCGACCGACGTTTTGGCGCCTTTTGAATCACACACGCGTGTAAATGACGTCAACTTGTTTGATTGACGGCAGTCTATTGCAAAGTGCACGTCGCGATTTTTGTCTGGGGTGGCCGCGTAGCAATGCAAATGCCGGTAAGAAGGTAGTCACATAACGTAAGGACCATTTCTTGGTAGTCATTTTGGCGCGCGCGTCTACACATAAACTCACCAGTCTTCGTAACTTGAATGAGTACAGCTTATTATGGGATGGATAGCTTATCAGGTGATCAGTAAGGTGACCACGCCCATCGCATAGCAATAACCTGAATATTAATAAGAGATTATTAGAGTTATTATCCAGCATTTCAATGTCGATATTTCTTATTGCACTAAAATGATTGCAGTGCGTTTTTCAAGAGAAATAAGCAAAAAGAATGAATGGACGAAGGGAGGAAGGAATTAACGAAAGGAATGAAATGAAATAGAAAAGAAAGAAAAAGAAGAGAAGAGAAGAGAAGAGAAGAGAAGAGAAGAGAAGAGAAGAGAAGAGAAGAGAAGAGAAGAGAAGAGAAGAGAAGAGAAGAGAAGAGAAATGGGGAAAAAGGGGGAAAATGAAAAAATAGACAAAAAGAAAGGAAGGTAAACAAAACGAAATGAAACGAAAAGATATGAAATGGAACCAAACCAAACGGAAAATGAAAAGGAAATAAAATGCTCATTCCTGTCGACATTTGCTATTAGGAAATATCTAGTTTAAAGGAGGTAAAAAATAATTATTATTTTGGATTGTAGAAAATATATCTAAACCTGGTTCTACTTACCCACAGTCCATGCAAGAAACCAAGTTGGACCTCCCTCCACAAGTTGAACATTTTGAGTCTCTTGAATTTCGAAGAGTTTGACATCTGTATATAAAATAAAACATTCTTTTTGGCATGGTGTATCATAAGTCGTCAGTTATTTTTTTCTTTTCTTTACCTCCATAGCTTATACTCACTTCTCAAAAGTTTAAGGGGACAATATGAGAACATGAAATTGTGGAAGTTTATCAATTTTGTCCCCATTCAGTCCCATAATCCTATGCACTATGAAGTTGCTACCACTCTTCCTTTGGATTTAACAAACTTAAGATGAATATTTAGAAGGATTTAATATATAGAAAAAGAGTACAATACCTTTTAAAGAAATCTTTAAGAAGTGTTGCATCTGTACCAGAATCATCTTCCCCCTATTTGATTAAAATACATGTACCTATTTAGGTATTGAGGATAAAAACTGAACAGAATAGCATGGTCTATCACTAATAGACCACTAGTAGCTCAGCCAATCAGAGACAAGATTTGTGATATACCATTAGAAGGTTTATGCTTAATGTAAAATAGAAATGTTCAATATAAAGGTACAAGGGTAAGCTGGAAGAAGTTTTAAGTAACTTCTTACCTGATAGATACTGACATGTTTTCTGGGAATGCTTGACGAACCAAAACCTAAAGAATGAAATAGCTCGAATAATGAATAAAAAGTTCACATACAAAATTTGGTGATCAATTTGAATAACAATTGTTCTGCACTGACTTGCAATGGACTAGCCTCTCATACGTGTGGAAATGCTTTTATGATTCCACGTGGCTAGTCCGTTGTTAGTCAGTGCAGAACAATTGTTATTCAAGTTAGTCACCATATTTCAATACAGTGTACATGTATAGAATGAAAAAGTAAAATTGATTTGACTATAAAGAGTGATTTTTGGCTTTGAAAATGACATCAAAAATACTGATTTTCGTTTTTCCAAAAAAATTTAAAGGATTTTTCGTTAGAATTCGTGAAATTTCTCTAAATTTTTTGATTCAAGAAGTGTTTTCTGTTTAGTAGCAAAGAGTCTAGACTGGCATTCGAGCTACCTCGCTTAAAATTGATGAAGGTGGAATTTTTTAATTAAGGTGGGTTTTTTATGGGCGGTTCTGAGCATTGTAAGAGTTAAAGGGTTAAGGACAATGGCTTTCATTTTGAGTCCAGTTTTTATCCTTACCAGATGAAGATGCAGTATTCACAGTACAATCTTCTGGAAGGTGTCCAATTCTCTTGCACTTCCAACTGGAATTATATCAGTATGTATGATTCATGATAAAATATATGATCTTTTTAAAGATTATATATTTTATAACATATTATATATATCATATATATTAAATTTATCATTTTAACATATATTTTAACACAAAACTAATAATAAATATTAGTAAAAAATACACAGGTGATTATTGAAAATCTTGCACGCTGATTGGTTGAGAAACTCACATTATCACACAATAATCACCTCCAGTGATAATCCAAAATGGCGGCCAGCCGCTTTGTTGCTGTTAC